AGCTCGTGTGAATTTACGTGAGCACTTGCCAAGTGCTCGCACACATTCACACGAGCTCAAGAATAAAAAAATTGTTCTTGAGCTCGTGTGAATTTACGCGAGCACTTGGCAAGTGCTCACGTAAATTCACACGAGTAGATGAATTTTCGGGAAAAAAACGAAAAACTTACATTCGGGTCTAAGTTGTTTGGATCCATCGCAAAAATTGTTGAATATCTGAAATTTTTCACTTTGAATGTTGAGTTTTCTTTTTTTATAGGATTTGGTAGGAATAGTACAAAAGGTAAATAGTTATGGTAAAAAGGTAAAAAACCATGGTAAAAAAGTGCCTGAATGTTTAATTTGGCCTGCGTATATCACCACCCTTGAAAAAAATGATCAATTGTTTAGTGATTAAAGATGGGATCTCGTGATTAATGCTTAACCTAATGTCTTAAGCTAAATTAGTGTCGTTTTCAACACCAAGCAAGTCGTAGATCAGAATCAAATAGTATCGTTCCGTAAGGGATGACGTAACAGTTGAAGCAAGTGGCCTTGTCTCAAAATTAATCCAATTTCGAATTTTCTTGTCAATTGTCGTTAGATGGAATTTGTCACACATTGTTAGCATAGTGTATGTGTTTTTACGTCTCTCATATGATTTACGAGCTATTACGCGACAATTTTAATTCTTATCGATGCTAGTGGGTCTCTATCATCTATGAATAAAATAATAAGCTTTTTTAACTTGATTTAAATAAATAATAATTAATGTTGAGATCTCACGATCGAGATCAACCACATATCTTTTAGTTTAATTAATTAGCTCCAAATTATTGTCTAATCAGTAATCATTCAGTCTCATCATACTTAGCAACTTGTACAATAATTTTACATAGTCTCACAAACTATTTTTTATTTTTATTTTAATTTTATACGTAATTAGGTGTTCAAATTATTAAATAAAATGTCAATTTCAGCATGTGTTAATAGTTCATTTTTACATATATACTACGATTTTTAACTATAACAGTCAAAACTCGAAACTCGTTAATTAACAATCCTAAATGTCAGTATATAATAAGTTAATTTTTAAAATAAAACTGGAAAAATGGGTATTAATATATTTTATTTTCTTATTTATTTATGATTATTATTTATATACATATATACTAATATACAAGATATGCACACGATCTTCCTGATTTTTAGTACATAAAATAAAAGGTTTACTTTTATTTAATATATCCACTTGCATTTGAACAAATAGAAAATTGGCATCAAATGTATACAGCTATCACAATCATATCATGACAATAATGGAAATATTTTTGCTAATTGGAATTAAAAAAAAAATAATGCCAGGTTTGTATTTTAATTAATCTGTTGCATTTACTTGTGCCCCAATTTTCTTTATGTTAACAACAATATTCTGGCGACGACCAATCGTAAAATCTTATATTATTATTAATGTGAATAACATGAATAGTAAATGTCAAGTGTAAATCAAAATGAATACGCTTTAATCATAAATCCATTGAAAAGATTGACTAAATTCCAACTTAGAAGTTTTATAAGACAAAATTCAGACAATACGAGATGACGTCGTCGTTATAGATATAAGTATTGATATGTACAATATATATTTTTTTTCGTTGCGGGACGAGACAGGTTTTACGAATATTAATTCGATCTCAACTCGAACATTTTTCTTGAATTTGACGGGTTGGTGGATCCGACTTGTTCCCCTTTAATTCAGACGTAGATGGAGATCCAATGCTATGATTTGGCTAGAGAGTCAAAGTCAACCTTATTAATATACACATATAATGTGCTAAATTATTTACCCATTATACAATTAATTAATAATAAGCTACTTAATTAATTATACATCAATTAATGTGCCCAATTGGGCATTATTTATACCATATGTATGAGTCACCGTGTTGTATAAATCAATTAAACACCCCCAAGAAATATGGAATTAGCTTAATCTGATTGGAAGACACCATTAATTATTAATCATGGTGGTTAAGGAAGAACAGCTAGTTTTGTACTTTTATTGGTAAAAAAATTAATTAATTGGGAAAAATACATTTTTCGACTTTTCGTCCCTCAAGTTTGTATCGATTTCACATTTGAACCCCCTCATGTTCACAAAAAAGTACATCTGGTCCCTCACGTTTCAGAAAATCAACATTTTTAGTCATTCCCGTCAATTCTTCATCAATACTAACAGCAATCAAGCGTGGGGAGATCCCTGTCTTCATTGACGGACTAACGTTAAATTGATGGAAATGAGCGAAAGTGTTAAATTATTGAAACACGAGGGACCAAATATGTTTTTTTATGAAGACGGAGGGCCAAATGTGTAATTATTGCAAATTTGATCGATGAAAACTGAATTTTCCCTATTTAATTAGTTAATTATTTTTTCCACTTCCGACCTTCAAAATTTCAACACTTACAAAAAAGTCTTACATTTCTTACATAAGACAGCCTTTAGTTAATTGTCCCTTTACACCTGCCTACATGGGCGGAACATAGAAGGGGCTGTTGACCCCCAAGATTAAAAAAAAAATCTTTTTTTTTAGGTATTTTGGCACTGTATTTTTTAAATATTACTTTTAGCCCTCATAAAGTTTTTACAAATATGTATATTAATCCTTAATTTTTTTTTATTCTCCATATATATATATATATATATATATATATATATATATATATATATATA